CGAACAAGATTAAAATGGAGAGAAAGAAATGAAAAGTACAAGAAATATTATAAAGGTACGTACAACAGAGTCAGTGTTATTACCGTGACCCTAGAATTTTCAATGAAGAGTATAAATGCAATAGAAATTGCATCCATAATCCGATGATGTATAAAACTCATGAATCCAACAATGACCATTACTCTCAATGCTTTTGCTGTACATCGTGTGGCACAACACACGCAGAAGGACATCTTAATCATGATCATAGCCATTCCTTCTGGAATGTACACGTCAACACCATGATGTCGTCGTAATGAATCCATTAGGGCAGCAACAACAAAAAGTGAAACACATCACAATTTCTGGAATGGGCAGCAGGAAACTCATGAGCTGGTATCATAACCAATCTTCATGGCTACAGATATTGACCACCCTCTTATTGCCCATGAGAAAAGGGTATTAACGAAAATGTTAGAGACCACAGCAGTTCCCCAGTAGAGGCTCTGATATTCGAGTCTGGTTGCTTTTGAAGTTATCTGGTTGTGAACTGCTGGGAAGAACTTTGCTATCACCAGTGCTAGGGACAGAGATGAAATCATGTATTCTCCAACACCCAGCCATGCAACTAGGCTTTCAGTCACTTTTAGGGTCATAAATGTCAAACCCTTGTTCATAGAGGCTACAAAGTTTCTATCGTCAAAATCAAAATAATAGTAGTCATAATAACCATTCATGATGTTTACTGTTCCTTTTTGATTCGGGGGTCCAGTCTGTGGTTGCGTCTGATTCAGAAAATGAGTATACTTTGATCTGTGCAAGAAGGAATTAAGACTATGGTACTATCTCCATGAAATGAGTTAGGCACTATAGCTATGTCTACTAAGCTACGCAAGGTTAGCTACTAGCGATGTGTGTACTATATACACCTGTTATGATAAACTGTCATCCATACTTTGCATGACATACCCAGCTCAATAGCTCTGACATGACACATTTTGTTAAAAGACAAGATGGGTTGCAAGTCCAATTAGCTGCTTCCAACCTCAGAGTAAATATTTCATTTTGACTTTCGAATGGATAACTGGGAAGATAATAGTAAGGCACATATATTGAGAGCAGACTCCCATGTATAAGAGAAAGAACTGCAATTGACTGAGTGATTGTTTGCTTATTCTTCTCCGTCTTCAACTTATCGTGAATGTGTGGTATATATCTAAATTGAAAAAATGTCGTCCCCTGAGGCAAACAATCTTCACAGAGAACCCAACCTGCGTCTGATCGACAAAAAGCAGGGTAGCCATCATAAACTCCACAACCTGCGGTGCTAGTCAAGTTTTTAACTTCTATGTTCAATTCGAAAACCACCGAGCTAATATCTGGGCTTATGAACGACGCCCTCAACTCCTCCAGGGCATCCTTATTTTTTATGAGAGCTTCTTCAAACTTCAAATAGACGCTGGAATATCCAGTGTTGAAATATGGGGCTACGGTAAGGTATTCTGCGGGGCAGTTGTCGATCTTCGTAACTGCTGGGTAGACAAAGAGTACCAGCAGCAAATACCAGCTGGAGCCATCAACTAGAGCCATCTTTGCTCAAGGGACCACTCCGCCCGGCCCCCAAGCTGGATTGTCACGTGATCGTGCGTACTAGCTACTAGAGAGAGCGCGCGAGCTTCCACGCAACCCGCGTTTGTTGCAAGGCTATGAGTATTCTCCGTGGTACACACTTGGGCTTATAAACAATCGAAAGATAGCAAGGTCTTGGTCCTCCTGAGTACCAGCCAGAGGCTTCCTTTCGCAGCTACAATACTTGATTTCAGCATGCGCGAACTGCAAGTTGGGAATACCAGATTATTGTCCGTTTAATTCCGTATTCTCCCCGCGTCCCCGACCCCCCAAGCGTACTCCAAGCGCGAAGCGTCAAACTCCAAGCGCCAAACGTAAAAATCTATAATTCCCTTTGTCGCTTCCTATCCAACGCGCATGACGATCCGACCCGCCCCAATTTTTATGGCCCGCACTGGGCTTCCGCTTCCGGTGTGGCGCGCAGGGCCGGTGTGTGTATACGGACGGGTCACGACGAGATTGCTCACTCTGACTGCGCGAATACGATTTGAAGATGCTCAACAGTTAGTGAAGAAAGTGTCATTGCTGTTGGTTCTGAGTCTCCTCTATTCTCTGGTGGAGGTTCACTCTCAGACCTTTCCTTATGTCTCCTTCATGGGTCAGACTCTGGCCAACCATTCCTATGTGGACCTCAGTCTAGTGGGGACCAGCGATAGTCTTCAATGTATCACTAACCTGATGACATGTTGCAGTAGTTCTCAGGGTGTTCATCGTGGAGACTGGTATTTCCCAAATGGATCTATACTGCAATTTTCCGGAGATATTTTTGAATCACGCGAACCTCAGAGAGTTAGCCTTCGCCGTGAAAGAAATCCTGCAATAGTTGGTGTGTATCGCTGTGATGTTTCAACAATTAGCGTCCATGATAACATCGACACTTCGGTCAGAGATGTTGTGTATGTGGGTCTGTACACCCCTGATCAAGGTAAACTTATTTCTCCCTTAATTTACTTGTTATAATTTTACCAATTTCATTGCTTTAGGAACAATTTCACTGTTGGGAGGTATGACACTTGATCTTGGCCTACTAACGCTCGCCTGTATCTCCACTGGTGGACCTGCTACAACTGTACATGGACCAGAGACTCTGCCCTTGCTCACAGAAGAAACTGAGACTGTGTTGAATGACCCAGTGACTGCACAATACACCCACACTCTGACTGTGACTATAGCAGGAGTGTACACATGTACTGTGGCTAACGAAAAGCCATCTAGTGCTTCAGCCAGCATCACCCTTGAAGGTTTGTAGCTAGAGATTTGACAAACAGCTGCTTTTCTTAGCCCTAACCCTACTGACACTCTGTGTTCACTATCATACGCTAACCACATATTCTACGCCAGCCCAAACTGCAGTAACTATAAATCCGTTTATGGTCAGTTCTTCATGTAAGTACGAAGTTTGTGAGTCACGAAATCTGCTGGTCAGCATTTTCATTGCTCTCTTAGCTCGGTAACCCATGTTCATAACCTTTTTTCTTATGGCATACTATGCATTGGGTAACCAACACAAAATTTCGTGACCTCAAAACTTAGTCTGTGTTTTTGTACGCTTGGGGTATGTTATTGTCTGTGTTTGTGTGCTTGGGTGGGAGGTTCTTTCTTTTCTCTGAGCTAGTATGCTATACACATGTTTTTTCATGGGTTCCCTGACTTGTATGTAATACTAGTGGATAACACAGGAAACCACTGGTCAACTCATGCAGTGGCCTCAGCTCCAACTGATGTCAGAGCAGTCCAAGATGGTCCCTCCAGTATCAGTGTCACCTGGACCCCTCCAATTCCGTTGGGATTACGACTGGCTACAAGATCTCCTACACTGGAACCAGCAGCAGTGGCAGTGAAAATGTCAATGGCAGCAGCATGTCCACAGTCACACACTCACTGGTCTTAACAGTTGGGACACCTACACTGTATCCATTTTAGGCACTGCAACAGGTGTTGGTTTACCTAGCCCTATTGTTGCTCAGAGTGATCCTGTTGGTTTAGGTGAGCCAGGAACAATTCTCTCCATAGGTTATATATATAGCCATTCATGCTTAGCTGGCTAGCTACATTATAAGAGGAGTGGGAAATGTTGGCCTGACATTACTCTAAAGGAATCGCTGTGTGTGTATCAACTTGCACTGTTTATGGAAGTCGTAGACAGTCAAAAACTGTTGGTTTTTGTTCAATTACAGTTCCCTACCCAGCTGCCATTCTTGATACCACAATAGCAGCCACTACTACTATTAATACGATCACCATTACCGGTAGCACTCCCATTGGCTCAATAGTGACTGGGTTTGTAGTCCACTGGAAGAGAAATGCTTCTACCAGTTGCTCTGATAGTGATGAGGGAACTATCAGTGTGGCAGCTGGTAGTTTTATTAACTATGTTATAACTGGACTCGAGGAAGGGAGTTGGTAGCTACACAGTTACTGTGAGAACGTCTAACACGGCTGGTAATAGTGCGCCTAGCAATACCCACAGCTATGACATTGGAGACTGGTGGGGCAGATTATGACTATTGCATCTCATGACCATTTAATCTCTTGATACTTTTTATAGCACCATCTGGACCTCTGACCTACCTGGCTAGTGGTACTAGCACGCATGATAGCATATCAGTGAAGTGACTTGTGTCGACCGAAATGGAGATGTAACAGGGTACAAACTCCGCATTACAAGGACTGGGCAAGAAGAGAGGATTGTTGACGTTAACGGTGACCGAAGGGAGGCAACTGTATCTGGAGTGGCACCGTCTACTAACTATTCAGTACAAGTGGCAGCAGTGAACAGTGCTGGTACTGGACCATATGGTGACGAAATCACAGTTCAAACTGAGCAATGTCAGTCAGTGATTATGCCATCATTTAAAATACATTCCTTTTATAAATGATTCTCTTTTCTCACTTTTTAGTCCAAGCTACACCCCCCCATGATGTGGAAGCAGTCCAGAATGGTCCCACTAGTGTCCTAGTGTCTTGGAGTCCATCCAGTGGTGCCACTGGCTACATAATCCACTATGACAGTAGTGGAGGTCACAATGGTAGTATCAGTCTTAATTCCTCAACTGACAACTTCGAATTGACTGGTCTTATGGAAGAAAACACATACACAATATCTATGTTTGCCAGCTCAGTAGACCTACCTAGCACAACCATAGAGCTTCAAATCAGATTAAGTAAGTCCTTAGCAATTCATGTGTACCTTTCTCTACTTTGGTTCTAAATAATGTCCAGTCCCAGCTCCAGGACTGGTGTTGGTGTCAGTTAGCTCCATAGCAGCCACCTACATCTCCCTCTCCTGGAGTGTGTCCAGTGGGATGGTGGCCAGTTGGGAGGTGGTCTGGAGACCCACTGACAGAGGCACTGAGAGCACCAGTGGTCCTCTGTCTGGCACTACCTACACCATCCACCAGTTGGACCCCTCCACTATCTAGACACTCACTGTCACAGCTACCAATGTAGCTGGAGCAAATACTAGTCTTCCCATCATCGTTTCTACTGGTAGGCCTCTGTAGACGTAACTATGTAGTCCAGGAAACATTTTCTCTAACTCTGATTGCATGCAGTTCCAACCGTAGAAGAGATCGTCAAGAGAGAGAATATTGATGCCACATGTTCCGAGACTCATTAACTTACTACGCTCATCTTGCGGGATGCCAACCCCTACCCCTGCCCCTCCTCCCCACTTCTCCTGCTGCAATTCGGCATGCCATCTTGCATTAGGGATGGGTATCTGGGTTGGCTCAACCAGAGCTCAGAGGGGGGCACCCCCCCATTTGCCCGCACGCTTTTCTGATTGGTGGTGCCCCCCTCGTACCTGCACGCTTCTCTGATTTGGAGGTAGCCCCCCTCATCTAGGGGTTAATTGGTGCCCGCTGCACCACCCCTTTGTTGGGGGGGGGCAAGGCGTGGTGGTTGCAAAGCACCACGCTCCACCCTCACTAAGCCAACCCTGTCATGCCACCTGGCCCGCTCAGGTGACAGAGAACGGTAAAACTCCTCGCCCCCCATTTGCCCTGTTTAGTACAGGGTGGGCCGGGTGGGAGCTTGCTCACGCTGCTCACTCTGCTTCTTCCCTGACAGGGGCCACGCGGTGGGACTGATTTGTGCGCATGCACCAGCGCTGCGCCGCCGCCTCGCTTGTCTGTTAACCTGGTTTAATGTCCATTGAACCCTATCAAATACTTGGTCATAACTGGTGGACTAGCAGGAGGAGTGCTGTTTGTTGTCACTACTGCTAGTATCATTGCTGTAGTGTTTGTGTTGAAGTGCTGCAGACAAAGGTCTTTGGCTCCCAAAACCAGGCATGTTAAATAGAGTGTGCAGACTCATCTAGCTATTATATCATGATCAATATTTCTCGTATGTAGTAGCTAACACAGGCTTCCCAGATTCTATTGATGTTATTTTGGAAGATGAAACCTATGAGTAAGCTGTTTCATGTGATAATGGAGGCTTGATCAGAGCGTCGGTAGACGCTCTATGTAGGGATGGCACGGGCGTGATCTTCGTACAAAACGCCTCTAAACTCGGGGAGAACGCCTAACTATGCCTTCAAAACACATCTGAAATCACTCACGGGCCCATATCTAGCTATATATGTCCCCAAAAGTATCATACGTACCTTCAATTCTCAAGACGAGAATCCGCTCTTACGCGATTTCAGGATTCACGCATCATCATCATCATCATCATATTCTTCTTCAGACCCGCTTTCTCCTTAGTGGAACTAGTTGATGCGCTGGATTTCTCACTAAACGTGTCCTGCGATGCTGGAGGTGTGCATCGTCGTATTGCGATGCTTATTTTCTTGCCGCCTATAGCTTACCGGCGGACAATACAGCTCACAGAAGACTACGCCATTTTCAAGGATGACGACCTGTCGGTCCAGACACCCCCGGCCGGCCCCACGCAAGCGCGCGCGCTCCGCGCGCGACGAGAGGCGCCCGATAAAAGACGCGTGGTCGCTCGCATAGCCGCTCGCTCTCTCTTTTCGTTGAGCTCCGTTTGGTCGTGGTTTTGTGCCAGTGACTACTTTTGCCCGTGTCTACCGTTTCTGCCGAGTCTGGTTACGACCGGTTTTTTTCTGTGTTGAACTGTTCTTCTACACGACAGTCCGTCTCAGTCTCTTTCATAGAGCTGGAGCTAGTTCGTGTATATACTGCGCTGTTTTTTTTTTACAAGTAAGTGTTGTTATATCGAGCGTATAATCCTGTACTATTAAGTTTCTACCTCTGAGGTACATCGACACCCCGTCCGGTGTATTTGTACTGGCCCCTGCTGCTAACTTAGATTTATGGGATCTGGAGTTGAGGCCACCACATCTACTCTTTTGCAATGTAAGCTCTGCAAGTTGTCAATGGACGGTAATTTGCTTATTTGCTCTTTATTCCAAAGCTGTTTATTTCGAGGTGCTACACGACACTCATCGTGACCTGGGGGTCCCCACGGCATGATGGAACTTCGATGCGAGCTTCGTGCAGAACACCGGGGGGCAAAGAACGCAGAAAAGAAAAAGAATTCGAAGGAAAGAGAGAGAAAAAGAAAAGGGGGAAGGGATAGAAAAAAAGTATAAATAGGAAGAAAAGGAAAGAAGAAGACAGTCAAAAAAGGAAAAGAAGAAAGACAACAATACGCACAAAGGTGTACACACCACCACATCCAATCACTATGCCACAACACACCAACGCACAGGAACAGAACAAGAATAAGGAACGAACGATAAACAGAATTCACACCCCCCCCCCCCGCGGTCATGGACCAATCACAAATTCCTCACTTACTCGCACAATAACTGGAGAACGAAAGAAACAAGGGAAAGGGGCAGGGAAGCGGCAAGAAAGAATCTGAGAAAAGAGGAACACAAGAATAGATAAAATGACAGGATAAAAACAGAGCAAGCGAAAGAAAGTGGAAAAGGACAAAGAAAGGAGAGAAAAAAAAAAAAAGTGAGTAGAGATGAGAAAAAAAAAAGCGAAAAAAAGACAGGAAAAAGGAGAAGAAGAAGGAAGATGAATAAAGAAAAGAAAAAGCACAAAAAGAAGAAAAAAGAGAAGAAAAGGAGAAAAAAAACAGACAAACGAAAGAAAAAGAAAAGAAAAGATGAGAAGCGAAGAAAAAAAAAAAATAAATAGGGAAGGAAAAGGGAACAAGAAAGAAAAAGCAGAAGAAGAAAAAAAAAGAAAACGAAATCAACAAAAGAAAGAAGATAGATAGGAAGAAAAAGAAGGGAATGAGATAAAGAAGAAAGAAAGAAGGAGAAAGAAGAAAAAAGGAAGAAAAGGGAAGAAGAGAAAACCCCTTTCGTCCCCTCAATCTCCCGAAATCTGCGAACTTCCTTCTAGTCTTTGCTGGCAGTTGGCGCATAGTTATACAACTCTGCACTCTCGACCTGCTGCAAACCGAGTCCTCGTGGATAAGAAAACGCCTGTCGTTCTTTCCTCCAAACGCCTTCTCTCGCCCTCTATCTACGACTGCTATTCCTCCGAAATACTGTGCCCTCCACTGCTCTCTCTGCCGCTGATTTGCTGATAGTTATCACTGCCAAGATCGACAACACCCAAGACAACACCCAGGACAACACCCAAGACAACAACACCTGGGCATCTTCAGACAAGTCCATTTTGCTGCTGGGAAAATGCCTTACCGCTCCCCAAGAAAAAAGAGGGCATGTTTCAAAAGATATTATGCGCTAAATTCTGAGAATATAAAAGCTAGAGGTAGATCCCTTTATTTGTCAGACCATGATAAGATAAAGGCTGTGGCTAGGACTCCTACCATGCTGATCCTGATAAGAAAAAGGCTGCTGTTCGGGCCTCATATTGTGCAGACCCTGATAAGAAAAAGGCTGCTTCTAGGGCCCTGTATAAGTTGCACCCATTGAAGAAAAATTTTGCTGATAGGGCTGCGTATAGAGATAATGCTGATAAAAGAAAGGCTGCTGCAATATCTGTTTACGATGTAAATCCTGAACAAAAGCGTGCAGCTACAAAAGCCAACCCTGAAAATATGAAAGCATTGTTTCGGGAGTATCATGCCTTACACCGTAGTGCCAGGCTAGCAATGTTTCGGGACTATCATGCCTCACACCGTAGTGCCAGGCTAGCAGTGTTTCGGGACTATCATGCCTCACACCGTAGTGCCAGGCTAGCCGTGTTTCGGGACTATCATGCCTCACACCGTAGTGCCAGGCTGGCAGCATTTCGGGAGTATCATGCGTCCCATCACAGTGAGATGAGATTGACGAAACAGCAGGCAATAGGAAGATGACCAAGAAGGTCATTGAGCATTTGGATAAACTGAGCGCTGACTGCAATATGACAGCTGGGTTGGAAGCCAAACTGTCTCTTGCAGTCGGTGCACGAGTCATGCTACGTCGCAACATTGACACCAAGGCTGGGCTGGTCAATGGTGCTATTGGTACAGTGCTGTCAATAGCAGCCCAGCATGTGACAGTGCAGTTTGATAATGTACCTGCTCCATGTAAGATTGATAAGGTCAGAAGCAGGTTCATGGTGATGAAGAATTTCTATGTGTATCGTAGACAATTCCCTCTCATTTTAGCCTATGCAATTACCATACACAAGTGCCAGGGTCTGTCATTAGACTGTGCCATAGTTGACCTGTCTGAAGAGGTATTCAGCGATGGAATGGCGTATGTGGCTCTATCCAGGGTTAGGTCACTAGATGGTCGGTTCCTAACAGCCTTTGATCCCCAGTCCATCAGTGTTAGTGTGAGTTCCCTGGGGGAAGTAAACCGCCTCAGAAAAACTCATAGACCTGATCTTCCTCTGTATGATATACCACACATCTCTAGAAGAAAGAGGAAGCTCACTGGTGTAGACAAAACTGTTTCCCCAAGTGTAAAAAAGGTCAAGGTGAATCCCTCATCTGCAAGGGATAATGAGGACTGTGTTATTACAGGTACAGAAACACCTGCTGCTACTCCTTTCAATTTCCACTCTGTAGATGTACAGTGGCAGCAAAGTGCATGCCAAGAGCTGGGCCTCCAATATTTTACACAAACACCAGTAACACCAGGAGGACCCGCTGTCCCCCTCACACGTCCAGTGTGAGACGCGTACAGGGAGATGGTAACTGCCTCTTTCGAGCATTTTCTTACATTCTGACAGGGTCTGCAGATCAGCATATTGGTGTACGACATGCTATCATTGACCACATGACAAATAATGCCCAATATTTCCTAGGCCACCATCTCGTAGGCTATGACAGTATTCAAAGTTATATAGCTTCCACAGGTATGGACCAAGATGGCAGCTGGGGAACTGACATTGAGATGCTGTCTTTGGCACACCTGCTCCAGACCCCTGTCTTCTCATACAGCCAGCAGCATGGGCAGTGGCAGCGGTACTCTCCTCATGATGTCGACAGACAACTGATGGATGACATTCACCAGAGGTCTATGTATCTATTGCACACAGGAAACCAGTTTAATGTTGTTGGTTCTATAAGGAAGAGTTAAACAAGCCACATGTCCTCATATAGACTATACATGGGCTCTCTGAGCATGTTGGGGAAGGAGAGGGTGGGTCCCTGCAATTTATTGAGGTGGCTTCCCCATTTCATGCTATAACCACTGTAGAAAGTGTAAGAATCCCTATTTACATGTCCTGATATCATGGTACATGGTCTTTCTGAACATGTGGGGGAAGGAGAGGGTGGGTCCCTGCAATTTATTGAGGTGGCTTCCCCATTTCATGCTATAACCACTGTAGAAAGTGTGATTTACATGTCCTGTACATGACTTCTGAACATGTTGGGGAAGAAGAGGGTGGGTCCCTGCAATTTATTGAGGTGGCTTCCCCATTTCATGTTCTAACCACCCTCCTAAAGTCTCAGACTTCATGGAGCTGACTGGTTTCAAGTGTAGGGAAACTGCACTGTCTTTACCACAAAGTTGGGGTAGCACACTGTTAGAGGTGAATGTCTGTACACTGACAATTGTGTTGTATGCCAACAGTAGTGAGTAATCCCCCAGGAGACTGGTCTTAGCTCTGACAGAATATTATCCTCCTCCCTTGAGGAGTGCACTCTACAGTCAGTAGCTATGCCTGTCGGGGTACTACTACATTGAAGCTACACACTACTCACCTAAACATCAGTGCACATAACTATTGTATCCAGTATATCAGCACCCTTCCTACATGCACCTTCACATAGTATTCTGAACAAGGTGGTTACTATTTATAGGCTCCTCTTTTCTTACAACTACATATATTATTATCTGGTTTTCCCCTGGGAAGCTTTCTACCTCTGCAGGTCTTTAAAGGCTGTGATCTTCTGTCTAAGGGGCACTGGGGTCTCAACCATAGCTGACCTGTCAGAGGAAGGTACTCAGCTTATCAGGGGCCTTAGCAGGTGGGGCTCTGAAGTGTTTCCCCCAGCCCTTATCACCGTGCTGACTTTACACACCCTGTGCCCTTATCACCACTGCTGAATTAGCTATTGTAAAACCCTATCCTAGCCTTCTATACTATAATTTGGGTTGCATTCCTCACTCTTTTATTGGTGCATACCATCTTTATGTTCTAAGGTGCTGTGCACTTGTCAGACCTGGACCCTACAAACTTCTACTACACATCCACTACGCTCTTTGGCCTCCACCTTTGACTTCAGCTGGGTAGACCTCTTCAAAAGAATGAACTCCTTGCACAACAAATCACATTCATTATGTTGATGTCTCACTTGCGCATGCGCCCGCTACGCGCGAGAGGCGCGCGCAAGTGCGTAAAAATTGCAACGTCACCCCGGCCCGGCCGCTGGTAAGGGAGCCCGCGCGCCGTGCGTGCGTACAGTGTGGTGTGCTGCAGCAGCCCCTCCCCCTCGCTCTGCAGCCCGAAAAGGGTGGGGCTGAGTATGCGCAAAAAAATAATTGGAACAAGTGGAAAAATCATTTCTTCAAAATGATGGGGGATGTAGGGATGGTGTAAATTATGAAAAAGGATGCCAACAAGAAGATGCTTCAGCCGACAAAAAAAATCGTACATCCATCCCTACATCTTTCTTTACAGTCACAACCTCTACTGTGATAATTATGTTGTGAATAATGTATCTTACATACTCAGTGACAAGTAAGCACAAATTTTTTTTATACAGAGCAAAAGAAAGAAAGATGTAGGGATCGATGTACGATTTTTGTTGTCGGCTGAAGCATCTTCTTGTTGGCATCCTTTTTCACAATTTACACCATCCCTACATCCCCCTTCATTTTGAAGAAATGATTTTTCCACTTGTATAATTATACCCATTCAAATTTTCTCAGAGAACCTAAGTTCGAAACTACCACAAATCAGGCCTACAATGTTGTCAAAGGGAATGAAGGAGGGACAGAAGATGTTGGTTACACGACACCCGACAGCAATTATATGAATACTGTGTCTTTATCCAAGTCTGCTGAATGTATTCCCAGCATTGAAGACTCAATTTATGAGAACTGAACGAGAACTGGTTTTTCTTTGCTATTACTGTGTGTATACTCAGCTGGAGTTGTTTTTGTGACAAACATTTTAGTTGCCATGGAAACACTCATGTGTGCCACATGTGTAGGAAGTTTGAGATGTTAACCAAAGATGGTTGTGAGATAGTAAAGCACTGATTGGTATACAATAGCAGCTGCATTATTAAAAGGTGGAGAGAGGGGGAGGATATTGATGCAAGTATATAGGAGGGATGGCTCCAAGCTAAGAAGAAGCCTGATTGTAAAGACACAACAATCCTGCCAGTTTGATAATAGCACAGCACGACATGCAGCACGCACATTACTGGGATGTCCCATACATTTTGAACCCCTACCAGCTGAGTTGCCTTGGAAATGCAGTATGTAGAGCATTCGCCTAGACCACAGAGTGTCAGGGGTTAGAATCCTACCCATGGCAGCTCTTTCTTTTTCCTTGGGTTGTCTGGGGTGAAGTTGACTTGTTTACTTTGTTCTTGTTGTTGACACCTGCCTAGCTAGCTATCACCATAGCCTCCTGCCCATGTAATATATGCATGCTTTGTGACCATGCACACCTCCGTTCCAAAGGCATGACCCGTAGAGGGATAGCAAATACCCGAAGTAGGCGTGGCATAACTATGGTAACGGATTGCGTCATCATTTTCGGACCATATTTGGGCACGGCTGTGGACCCGCCGCCATTTTTAGCTGCTATGCCGGACGCTCGTTCTCTTTGACGATTGCACCATTGCAGCGTCCTTAGCGAAAAGTATGCAGATGAGATGGTTATGAACCGCCTAAAAACTAACGTGGTCAGTCGTCCTTCTCTGCCGATTCAAGCAGTGGTAAAGGCACTGAAAGAATGCTAATTCGGGACAGTTTGAGCCTCCTTTAGCTAGCGCTCCAGAAAGATTGTAGGCAGAAGCCTGGTTTAACCATGTTATCTACCCGCAGATGCTTCGTGCATGCTAAATTCGCCACTTCTTGTTAGAAAGAACAGCTAACCTTCCTACGTACTCCGAGCAGCTCATCACAAGACCATTTTCAAGGAGAAAAGTCGTAGAGGAGTTCTAGGACAGTACTCAACGTGCTTTGGATATCACTTCCTGTATATTTCACAGGTCATCCTTGTTGTTTCACAGGATATCATGTATATTCACTGGTAGATATGCCATCAGTTGGTGGTTATACTGAATAAACTGTGGGCGGCGCCTTTGAAAATACGCACTACAGTGGTATAAAAGTTAATACATTGGCACGTGATTCATGGTAACAGCAAAAAATGTCAATCTTGAAAATAAATTTGGGGTTACAGAGAAAATACGCCAGTTTTGTAACTATAAATGTTGGCCGATGTCAACTTAGCATGAGTGTCATTTGTGCACGTATATTTATTATTATAGTATTGAAGAATTGGAGATCAGTTTTCAAACGCACCACTCGAAAGTGCTGCAAGGCAAGTCACCCCAGCCCTGACGTCTTTCTTACACTCACTATCCTCGTCCGTGAACTGTAGGTGAGTACAGGCAAACAGACTCTCTTCGTCTCCACCACAGTTAACATGATCCAGCCAGTACTTGGCACCATTCTCAGCTTTAACCTCAATAGTTGTGGCACCTGTGCAACAAAGATGATCATGATGACCTTCCAGTAAGTTAGTTTAAACAAGTCAGTGGAGGATCTAGAACTCCAGAAAGGGTGGTTCCATGCACCCGAAAAATCATTAGCGGCGACACCGACTTTTGGACACCTTGTGTGCTCGTTGTGCGAATAGCGCATTATGAGACCTTCCATGAGCTCTTCTTCTGCCAGACTGTTGGGTTCTCAGTATTATAAATCATCCTACGCAATATGCAGGTACCGAAATTGCATCACTAGTTTTGTAACACTTGGACTGAAAGGGGAGTTCCATGGCACCCCATGAATCACCCCTAGATCCACCACTGCCAGTCTCAGGGACGTTAAGGCGCGTCCCGAAATAATTCTGCGCGCACTTTACGCACAACGTTACGTATACCGTAATACTCTAATTTTGCGTATGTACGTAGAAATTTTAAAACGTAATGCGCGCGCGCCGCCGCTTACACGTACGTACGTGTGGGGGTCGATCGATGAGCGCACAACGTCGAGAGTTAACGGACCTGTGTACATGTACCTAAAACTATGCCTAATGTTTTTTATAGTGTTATGAATATAGAAAAAGCGCAGACTGACGCATCTCTAGCTCTGTCATGTCAGCTGGTTGAGTTTTACCGCCGCGCGCATGGCTGGAGGGCGCATGCGCACAATGTTCTCACCTTTGACCTCAGATTCGTTCTAGAGACGCAGCAATCGCGCTGTACGATTAACTAAAACCGGGCAACGGTAAGTGGAGAGCAGTGAAGGAGCTATAGCTCTGCCTTCGTAAGACAGCTGACGGATAGCTCTTTCACCTACTCGGATTGGAACGGGCGGCTCTTACGTTTAGCGGAGGTATGAGTCATTTGCCACGCCATAATTGTAGCCGGTAACCTGAAAGCCATCATAAGACCGCTACGGGAAGGTTTCGTAAGTTCCCATTCAAAACATAATGACTTCGCTACTTGTTTTACTGTTTGACATGAGTGAAATATTCCCTCGTTGGCTAGTTCCTTACCGTTGCTAGTCTAAACAAATGACGTAAAATACGGACGGTACACGCCCACTATGGATCACGTGACCTTGTTTGTGGGTGTGGTCGATGTTTGTTGTTGTTTACAAACACTTGTTCAGGTTTGATGTGTGTAACCCCTTTAGTTTTGGAGATACAGCATTTGGGTGTTTCCAGTGCTGGGACGTGCCTTAATGCCCCTGAGGTGCCATAATTTACATATTTACATGTTCTACTTGTACTGACACATTTCAGACCATACCTTCAGCGGAGTGGCCACGTTCCTTGCAAGCTACTTTGGCATCCTCGCTAGTCCAGTGGTTACAACACAGTGACCTCCACTCATTACCCATCCACAGTTCAACAGCACCAGATAGATCAAAAATGTCACCACCATCTACTATACGTATGTCAATGTCAGTCTCATCTGAAAGTAGACGCAGTAGAAAGAATGTATAACAACAGATAATGATTCTAGAGTAGCTAAGGCGTTCACGTACTGAGGCACTGTACTCCAGCTCTCTCTCTTCGACCACAGTTATGGACCCCCCAACCTCTGTGTGGACAATCAAACAGAGATAACTCATATCCTTTGCACTGAACATCATCCAGCCAGTATTGTCTGGGCTCATTCGCATTGAAGGGTTGTCTTCGAATCGTTTTAGCACCTGCCGGAGAAAAAGATGTTTATCATATTCAAATAGTAAGTGTAAAGCAAGTAATATAATTTTAAGTAATATAATGCAGTGTGAAACAATTGCAGAGTGGAAAATACTCACCAAATCCCAAGAAACCAAGATGTCGGCACACTACATTGGCATCATCATATGTCCAGTAATCATCACACACTGACCTCCACTCTGAGCCCCTCAACACCTCTACCAGGCCTGATTTTACTGTCTCTTGGCCACTCTCCGGATCCACCAGACGAAGTCTGACCTCTGCATGTAATGTACAATTAAACCAATGATCCCCCAATGAATGCTTTCATTTACCACTTTTCATTTTTGTATACTTTAGAATGCCCCATGCAGTGCCCTGCCTGCGTGTGACTCATGTCACTCATTAAAAATGCCCTGCATTCATTCCAGTATTAAAACAATGAAAAGCACTAAAGTGCAAACCCTCGGCGAACTGCGCATGCGCGGTACCACTAATTGATGGGCTAGGCTTTTTATTTTCTTTACTCGTGGTATCCCGCTAGTAGCTTGCGGAGAGTCCGGCACGGGCTAGCTACAGTAGTAGATAGCATGCGGGAGTTGATACATGCCCTTCGTTACGACTTCTTGTGCCTTCAAGATACACAGAGCGAGCGGACGCGGTCGAGGTAAGCCTGTGCTAATTTGCATATTGGCTTGTTCACTTGGTTTTCACGCCACAACTTTAGAACACAGTAGTTTTACGACAATCACCTTTTTAGAAATGAAGCCAGTGTAGCACTGAACCCGTTACTATCGCTCTTTGGCCGATTTCTTGCGAGTGATGGCAGAAAACGTGGTAACAGACAGACGGACAGAAGGACAGACACACTTACGAACCAAGTACTATAACCCTCTAGCGCATGCGTGCCGAGGGTTAACTACCACATCTCTAGGCTTACCTAAAAGTTAATACGCAAGACTTATTTGTCTAGACAAAGAAAGAGGCATAGTAATCTTGTCATGTGTGCCTTGCCAACCTTTGAGCCATTCCTTCTTATGACAATCGTGTGCTCTCTACACTGTCGAACAATATTAAGGCTTATTGGATACATAAACAAATGAACTGCAGCTACTTCTCGGATACATAGCCCTCCTTAAATGGTTGACATACGTTCGTTGTCTAGAATGGTGAGTGTGAATGTAGCAGATTTGACACCAGGCTCCACATGAGGCTCCACCCCCATCCATGTGACGGTGAGTTCCTCTGTACCCTCAACGTCATCGTCATCAATCACTGTGTACTGTGAATCAGATGCAGTGGTCATTGTAGAGAGGTAGAGTGTCAAACTGTTACACTCATTACACCTTTATCGCTAGTAAAAGTAGTGTTATTATAGCCACCGGGCCTTCCTGCTAAGGTTACAATTAATTGTGGTTACTAATTTTAGCGAGAATCATCAAAATCGCAAAATTATGTGCACGCCAATATTTGTATTGCGCACATGCACGCATACCGCGTAAATATTTACGCGCAGTTAGTTGCTCGCGCTATGTTTCACGTGTTTATACTCTACTGGAGCTTTAGTCTGGAGTCTGGAAACAAAAACAGAGCTTTGTGGTTCTACTTTGGGTCAGCTGGAGCACAAGTGAAGAAGGATGAAATTGGATGCACACACAAACTTTGACTGGTTGTCATCATCATACATTCATCAATTATTGTACACAAAGACAAATATTGCTAAAATTAGTATACGCCAAAAATGATCTGTGCAAAAACGCTAAATTTGGTAGTCACCATTTAATAGTAACCTTAACCGTTTGGACGCCATGGGGATCTGCTTAATGAAGCAGAAATTGATGTATAGTGTATTAGGGCCTAGTATTATAACCCCCATATAGATTATTGTGGACTTATGGAGGCTCTGGACACATTTATGTGTCCATGGCTGGTTAATTGTTAAAGTACACATAATAATACAGACTGAATAGCTGTACGTGGCAATCTCCAGAGATTGCCCACATTACATATACTCCTGTCTTCACACACACACACGTACAGTAGAGTAGTAAGTTATGTATGATAATGCATAATGTAAGACACAGGTGTGTTTTAAATGGCTTGTATGTATGTATGTTTACTCTGCATATAAAATTAGAGGTGTTCATTGCGCAATAATAATAGGTAGCTATGATTTTTTACCGGTATGCAATTTGATGAGCCATTTGCCGATAGTAGCAAAACATCATTCTCTAGTTCAATATCTGCAAATGTAAACCACCCTACGTAATAGCTGTAGCTACCATAGAAATCAATGCATGCTGTGCATGGTACGTATGAGGGGTGTGGTCCAGCTAGTGACCAATCCAGACCACGCCCTTCAATTCCATTTCAGCATGTGCTTGTTTACTATAATTTGAGTAGTTGCGTATAGGTTAATGCCTGGTTCTGAAGCGGTACTGGCGATATCCCCGAAGCTGTTTACTCTAGCACCCGAGGGCGGAGCCCGAGGGGGGTAGAGTAAACAGCTGAGGGGATATCCGGTACCGCTGAAGAACCAAGGCGTTAACCAATTTGTAGCCTAGCAACCGTACTAATTGCCTAGCAACCATATTACGTCATCAACATTTTGCCAGGGTTGTGAGAGAAATCGGTTGGCGAGACGAGGGAAAGGAGGCCGAGAGCATGCTTGCGTGAGCCCATGCTGCCTGTTGACCGTTTGTTCGAACTAGTACTACTTTAGCTAGCGGTGGAGCGTAGTGTAGCGTGCGATTGTAGCGGGCTGCTGTAGCGCGGACCAAGCAGAGAAGACAAGACGCCGCGCAGACCTGGAATGACGTTCTTTGGAGTCTCCTTCGTATATCACGTACGCTACAGCTCAGCTATGGTGCAGCTAAGCCTGACATTTTTGAACAGCGTGTTCAAAACGACACAAGTGACGCACGGCACACAGCCCTCTCTCGCTCCAGCTCTCGCCTTTTTCTGGCTTGCGCGCGCATCTTCTCGCTTACTGGCTCGCCACTTTTCCCTTGCCTGCCAGCTTGGGATGTAGCCACAGCCATCTACAGCTTACCAAAAAAGGTCACTGGCCATTGTTTTATGATTAGATCGTTGTGTAAACTGTGGCTACCGAGCCAGCGGATACTCAATTAACGGCAGCCACACATCCTCGGGGATGTGAGTATTGACTTGCTGACGGCTTGGGGTACTGGGAATACTACTAGCGCGGTGCCTTTGAAAATCAGCAAAACTAGGCTACAATA